AACGCCAGGCTGTCAGCTACGCCCCCGGTTCCCCGGCAACCCAGCGGCATCGCCGCACTGCGCGCCTGGGGAGTTGGCCATGCTTGACCCTGCCAGCAGGGATCAGCATCGGCAGCAGCGCCACCATCGCGACGCTGGCGGAGAGGCCGATGCCTCCCGAGCCGCTCCGCTCACGGAGGGCGCCAGGCGACTACCTTTTGGCGCGCGCAGTGGCTCGCGGGGGAGGGCGACGGCGCGCCCGTCGCCAGCGCGGAGCGCTTTTCGGACGGGGCGGTCTACGAGGCGAGCTTCTCGCTGGCCATCTCGGCGCGCGCGCCAGCCGAGCTGCCGCCCTGGCTGGGAGGCGCGGCGCGACCCGGGGCCGCGGTCTGCGGTCAGCGCCCTGGGCGACCCGCTTCCCGCCCATTTGCAGTCATCGACGGGGCGGAGTTGCTGGGCCTGCTGGCCCTGCTCAAGCACTCGCCCCCGGCAATCGCGGCGCCCTTCGACGCGTCCTGTACGTCGCCAAGGGCATGCTGGTGAGAGGCCGCGAGCGGACCGCCATGGTCACCTCGGCCTGGGGATGCTTGTGGAGGCGAGTGCGGCAGGCGCTCGACGACTTCGGCGAGCTGGGCGACGACGGCCTCATCATCGAGAAGGTCACGGGGCATGCCGCGCTCAGGGGCGCCAGCGAGAGCACCATCACGTCGCGCGACCGTCGCGGCGACGCGGAGGCCGAGAGGCGCGCGAAGCTCGCGGCGGGGGCCTTCAGGGCGCCCGAGGGGGCCCACGCGTCCCCTGAGAGCAGGGAGCTCACCTTGGACGGGGGGCGATCCACTGGGCGGGCCGCGCCGGCGACGAGGCGGCCCAGCCGCGCTTGGACTTCGACGATCTCCGCGCGGGTGAGAGAAGGCGCCGCCGCGCAGGGCGGCGAGGCGCGACCCGATCAAGTTCGAGGGCGGCCGCTGTCACTGCAGGCGCTGCCCGCGCCCGGCCCCGTCAGGGCAGGGGTCGAAGAAGCTGCCGTCGCGCCCGTGCAGAGCGAAAACCTTCGCCCCCGACGTCAACGGCGCGAAGTGGAGGCCTGGCGCTTCTGCCTCGCCAACCGCAGGCGCAGTGGCCGCGGCCCTGGCGGCGGCGCAGACGCCGGGGCGCGAGGAGGGCCAGAGGCAGCAGTGGGCCGAGGCCGCCGCCTCCGCCGCTGGCGCCAGCCCGCCCGCCAGCTCACCCCTTGAACCGCCTCTGTTAGGCGACGGACCCTGCCCCGGCTTTGGGGCGGGGGGGCGCGAGAAACCCTGGCGGGCCACCGAGGCCGCCGAGGCGACCGGCTGGCCCCGCGGCGCGGGCGTCGAGGGCTTCGCGGACAGCGGCGACCTCTGGACGCGGCCAACGGCTACAGGATTTGCAGGCTGTGCTGGCGCAGCGCAGCTCGGAGGCTCGTGCCAGCCTGTCGCTGGGCCCTCGCTACACGCCCGTATTCGCAACGTCGAAAACATCGAGGATGGGCTGGAGCTGGGGCCCAAAACGCCGCCGAAGCACCTCGTCACTCATCCATAGCGAGGCGCGCTTCTCAGCGGAGGTGAGCGCGCGTGGCACGCCTTTTTGTTGGCTGCGACTTTTCGCAGCCCTGCGGGAGCCCAACAGGGGCGCCCTGCGCGCGCGGCACCTGCAGAGCTCGGTGCGGCTGCCGCCTTGGGCGGTCGTGCTGGGGCTCTCTCGAGCGGACGGCGTTCGCAGCGAGCGCCCATGGGAAACAAATCCATGTGGGAGGGTTCGCATGGCGCCGCCGCTCGATTTCGGCACGCGCCTCATATTTTCCGTTGCCGCATAGGGAACTCCACCTGAGGTTCTCGTGGGAGTGTGCGCATGGCACCGCCGCCCCATTTCAGCACGCACGCACGCACCACACGCTTCGTCGCTCCACAGGGAGCTCCACCGAAGGCCCCAGTGGGAACGTCTGCGTGGCACCACCACCCCATGTCGGCACACCCCCCACACGTTCCGAGGCCCCAGGGGGAGCTCCACCTAAGGCCACAACGGGGGAGGTCGCATGGCACCGCCGCCCCAGTTCTTTACATTTTTCACACGCTTCGTGCCCCCATATAAGGAGCTCCACCGACGGCTCCAGCGGGCGGGTTCGCATGGCACCGCCGCCCATTGTCGGCACACCCCCCACCCGCATTGCGGCCCCGCCCCGTCTCGGCACACCGTTTGCACGCTTCGTGGCCCCATGGGGAAACATCCGCCGAAGGCGACACCCACAGCGACGGTACCCACAGCTGCATATGGTTGGGTTTTTCTCCCGCATAAGTGTTCTGGGCGGCTCGGGGCTTGCATGTGGGGCGACGATGCGTTGTATTCATCAGAGGGACCACATACCATTGTTTCATTTCATCTATTAGGATGCACGTTCTGGAAGATTCAAGCCGGCACCGTGGCTGGTATATCCGTGGGCGAAAACCGGCCTAAGCCGGCAGAGCCCCACGCAATCCGATTCAATCCCGTTGAGTTTGGTTTTGTTGTTTGTTATCTTGCGTCATCCATCTCAGTAGCCCCAGCGTCGGGGCTGCAAGTTTGAAGCTGTTCGTGCAACGGCCTTCTAGGAGTTGCCTCCTCACACAGGGTTTTCATATTCCCTCCCTGTTAACCTTCGCCCTTCCCCTCCCCTTCCTTTTTTCCCCGCGTGCTTCGCCACCGTCAGGGTCAGGCCCAGATGAACTACTTGCCCCGTTGCCTTCGCACAGCCAATGGGCGGCTGCTTCAGACTTCGGGCGTCGCCCCTCTGCAACGACGCTCGCTTATTCCCCCAACTTACCCATCCATTGGGGGATCCCAGACTCGCTGTTCTCCCTCATTCTCTTTCTTTTGCATCCCCCAGACTGCCCCCCCACTCATCCGTCCTGATCTACCTCCCCTGGCATCCCGGCCACGGGTAGAAATTAGCCAAGACTCATGCCAGATTCATGTGTCAATGCCCCCATCAATAGTCAATGTTGGCGGTGGGTTTGAACGAGTCGCACTTCGACCGCCGCCTTTCCCCGCGCGTGCTAACTTTGAACTTGGGGGCCAGGGGGAGTGCCCACGAATTGCTTCCCTCCACCGTCCATCGATGCGCTTCTTGTTGCTCATCCCCCGGGCCCAGAGCTCCCGGCCGCTTCCCCAGGGGCACGTGTTCGTCCCCAGCACTGGTTGGCGGCCCCGGGGCCATACGCCCCCAGAGGCCGACATCGAGGGCAGCACGATCCGATTCGGTGCGACTCGACTCGCCGGCTGGAGCCGCGATTTCGATGCGACTCGATGCGGTTCGAATCTCGGAAAGAGCGTGTTCTACCGCTGCTGGCGGAAAACCGGGGGGGGTTACTACCGGTTCGAACCCCTCCCCCCCCCCCCCCCCTCCAGAAAACCGGGGGGGGTCACCTACGTTCGAACCCCTCCCCCCCCCCCCTGCTCATCATGAAAAGGGGGGGGGGACACTACCGGTTCGAACCCCTCCCCCCACCCCACCCCCCCCTCCGGATCCGGAAAACCGAGGGGGGTCACTACCGGTTCACACCCCCTCCCCCCCCTCGAAAACCGAGTGGGGGTGCGGACAGTGGTGGGGACGGTGCTGGTGGGGACAGTGGTGAGGGGACAGCGGGACAGTGGTGGGGACAGTGGGACAGTGGGACAGTGGTGGGGACGGTAGTGGTGGGGACAGTGGTGGGGACAATGGTGGGAACAGGGGGGGACAGTGGACAGTGGTGGTGACGGTGGTGGTGGGGACAGTGGTGTGGGGACAATGGGGATGAGGTGGAAACAGTGGGACAGTGGAGGGTACAATGGTGGTGGGGACAGTGGTGAAGGCGGTGGCGAGGACGGCGGAAGAACAATGGGACAGAGGTGCAGTGGGGACAGTGGTGGGGACAGTGGGGACAGTGGTGGGAACAGTGGGACAGCTCAGTGGGACAGCGGAGGAGTCAGTGGGACAGTGGGGACAGTAGGGATAGTCGGGCAGTGGTTGGGGCCTTGGAGACAGTGGGGAGAGTGGAACCGTGGTGGGAACAGTTCTGGGGACAGCGGGGACAGTGCGACAGTGGTGGGGCCACTGGTGGGGACAGTAGGGGCAGTGGTGGAACCAGTGGGGACAGTGGTGGTGAGGACAGTGGTGCTGGGAACACCAGTGGGGGATGTGATGCGGACGGTGGTGGGGACCGGGAGTCGTTTGCTGGCGGTGAGTAGGGGGGGGGGGGGGAAAGGGGAAGGGGGGGTGCGAACCGGTAGTGGCCCCCACCAGTTTTCCGGATCCGGAGGGTAGGGGGGGGGGGGAAGGGTGTTGGGAGGGGGGTTCGAACCGGTAGTGACCCCCCCCGGTTTTCGAGGCGGGAGGGGGGGGGGGGGGGCGGGGGGGGGGGGGGGGGGGGGGGGGGGGAGGGAGGGGAAGGGGGGGGGGGGGCGTGTGGGGGGGGGGGTGTGTGGGGGGGGGGGAGGGGGGGGGGGGGGAGGGGTTAGGGGGAGGGGGGGGTTTTGCCGGGGGGAGGGGGAGGGGGGGGGGGGGGGGGGGAGGGTTCAGCAGGGGAGGGGGGATTTGTCGGAAGGGGGGGTGGGGGGGGGGGGGGGGCCGAACCCCCGGCGGGCTCCGGAGGAAAAGGTTGGCAATTTTCCACAGTAAAGCGGCGGTGGATCACGCTCTCTCGAATCTCGGAAGAGGAACAGGTACCCATACCTCTACCCCTCGCCCGTTTTCCCGTTTTCGGGCTTCCTCGGAGGCCCTCGTCGCCACCGCTGGATTTGCCTCGAAATTCTGGTCAGAACGCACCCCGAGAGAGGTCTGGGGGGTAGCGGTATGGGTACCTCTTGGTTTCCCCAGATTCCCCGACCTTGGCCGGGGCCAGCCGGAGCCCAGCGCGGTGCTCCGATTTCGATTCGGTTCGGGACGCTTCGCGGGCGATTCGATGCGTTTCCAATGCGAGCCAACTTCGCGCCGAGATCCAGTTCGGGCCCGTCCTACCCCCCCCCCCCCGAGCCGGGCCCCCGAGCCGAAGGAGACGTGCGCGGAGGCCGACAAGAATTGGGAGCAGCGCAAGAAGGCGCGCCAGGACGAGATGGAGGCTTCCTGCCGCTTCCTCTGCCCTGGCGCGGGGCGCGGGAAGGGTTGGCATGGCTCGGCGGCGAGCCCAGGGGGGAATCGAGAAGGCCGGCCACGTGCAGAGGTGTGTGTGTGTGTGTAGGTGTGTGTAGGTGTGTAGGTGTGTAGGTGTGTGTAGGTGTGTGTGTGTGTAGGTGTGTAGGTGTGTGTGTGTGTGTGTGTGAAGTCCGCTCATATCACCATTCTATCCTTACCTACCGCCGACGTCTCGGCTCAGGTATTTTTACCAAGCACCGCGCCGCTCTTTTATCGGCGCACGGGAAAATGGCTCGCGACCTTCTCCCGTACCTACAGGCCTCGGAACAAAAATAGCGAACATTCATGCCACATTCATCTGTGAACGCCTCCCCCTCCCCCCAATGTTCAAAGTTGGCGGTGGGTCTGATGAGTTGCACCTCGACCGCAGTCTCCCCCGCGCGTGCCAACCTTGAGTTTGGGGGGTGTTCACTAATTGTTTCTCTCTACCGTACCTCGACCTACGGGAAACACAGTAGGTTCGACTCTGCGGTCGTTAACCTACACCCACAGGGGGCAGGGGGAGGGCGGAAGGCTTCTGGGAAAGAGGCTGATTCTGGGAAGGCGTGGGCCTTGTCTGCAGACGCAGGCTCGGCGCCCTCTCAGGCGCGGCCTCCTTCTGAGCCTTCTCCCCTCTCCCTGCCCCCCCTCTGCGCGCCGCCGAGGAGGGGCGGGGCTTCTCAGAAGCCCTCTTTGGCCTCCCGAGAAGCCGCCTGCGTCTCTGAAGAAGGCCCCGGAGGCTTCTCGGAAGGCCTGGTGCCCTTGGAGCCTTCCCAGAAGGCCCGCGCCACGTTTCGCCTCCCCCCCTGGGCCGCGCAGGGCGGCGCGCCAGGCGGTTGGTGGAGGCCTCCTCGCCGCTGCCTCTCTCCTGGCGCGGAGGGGGCCGGCATGGAGGACACGTGCCTTTAGCCTTCGATCCGGGTGTTGCGATTTCCCCGCGCCGAGCGTGTTCGTCCGGTGTCGGGCCCAGAAACCATCACAGATCGAGACGGCCGGAGAGATGCCGTAGAAAGATGAGGTCTGGAGTTCCAGTCGCAAGTCTGGCGACTTCGCTGCCCTGCCACGCACGTTTTGAAACGCAACGCGTCTCGTGTTCAAGGCGTCAGTGCTAACGCGCTGCGTCGTGGCGCAACGTGTTGGCCCACGTTTGGGCGAACGTGCCGCGCCAAGCTTTCGTGTTCAATCTTACGTTTTCCAATCCCCGCGTGGAGGTCCACATCGGTGCGCTGCGTGCTGCGTGTTGCGTCTCGAGGTAACTGAGCTCGGCGATGCTGCGCCTCCGTGGCTCGCAGCGTCGGGTCTCAGGGAGCGTGTCCCGAGGGGCAGGGGGCCTGGATCCGGAGGCCTCCCTTCGCCGTCCTTCCCTGGCCTCGGCATCGCTCGGGCGTGCCCGTAGTTGCTCTCGGTGAGGACCATCGAGGAGCAGCCCTGCAGCACACAAAGAAGAAGAAGAAGCAATTACACGCACGGGATCGAGAAATGCACGGAGAAGGGGCGTGCGAGCGATGGCGAGTGGCGCGGAGCAGCGGAGTGAAGAAGCCCCGACCCCCTGCCCAGTCTGATGGCAGCTGGCGGCCGCGAGAAGCCTGGGCCGGGAGCCCACGAGCCCACGAGAGACGGTGGTCAAAAGACGGGGGTCCATGCGAACGGGGGTCAGTCAGAGCGCTTGATCTTGCAGGATTCTTCAGGGCCAGTGGCGCACTGACCAGGGTTTGGTAGCAAATTATCGGAGCCTCGTCGTATACCCTCGCAATTCCGTCTTTAGCGTCGACTAGCGTCGATTAGCGTCTGGGAGTCGAGGAGACAGCGCCGATTTAGCGTCGGCTGGCGTCGATTAGCGTCGATTTAGCGTCGATCAGCGTCGACTAGCGTCGATCAGCGTCGATTCGCAAAAAGCCGACGACAAGATGGTACGGGGGGCTCCTATGAGTTGCCACCGCACCCGGGCTTGGGCGCAGGGTCCTGCAGGATCCTGCAGAGCCTAACTGACCTGGGTCTGGATTGACCTCGGGGCAGAAGAGCCCCGACGCAGGACCGCACCGCTCCCGAGGCCCACGACGGCGTTTCCTGATTCATTGTTTTGCCGATCGGCGCGGGCTCTCGCCCCCCCCCCCCCCTTGAACAGATCCTGGTTGTTTTTTGGCGCCTGCTCCGAGCAGGTGGAGCCCCCCCCTACGGGACGCACTGGTGAAAGCAGCCGCAGTAAACAGAGGTCCGGAGCCAGACCCCCCCTCCCCCCGCTTCCGCCCAGTGTCGAAACGCCGACTATAAAAGCGCTGACCACTCGAGCGCGGCGCCGCTGCAGCTCGCCGCCTCGCAGCGCCGCCGGCCCCGCGCGCCGCAGCTCCAGCGCCGCGGCCGATGTTGTGCTCGGCCCTCCCGCTCCTGCCTCTGCCCTCCGCATGTGTAGATTTCGGCACGCCCAGGGCATTGCTTCGGGGGCCTGTAGGGAGCTCCACCGAAGGCCTCAGCGGCGGGGTCCTTATGGTGGCGCCGCCCCATTTTGGCGCACCATTTGCACGCTTCGTAGCCTCATTGGGAGATCTGCCGAAGGCCCCGGCGGCAGGGTCCACACGGTGGCGCCGCCTTATTTTGGCGCCCCCTTCACACGGCTCGTAGCCTCATAGGAAGTTCCACCGAAGGCCTAAGCGGCAGGGTCCACATGGCGGCGCCGCCCCCTATTTGGCCCCCCCCATCACACGGTTCGTAGCCCCATTGGGAGATCTGCCGAAGGCCTTGCAGTGGCAGGGTCCACATGGCGGCGCCGACCCCTATTTGGCGCACCCTTCACACAGTTCGTAGCCCCCACAGGGAGATCGGCTGAAGGCCCCAGCGGCAGGGTCCGCCTGGCGGCGCCGCCTTATTTTGGCGCACCCCTCACACGGTTCTTAGCCCCATAGGGAGATCAGCCAAAAGCCTCAGCGGCAGGGTCCACATGGCGGCGCCCCCCCATTTTGGCGCACCACGCACACCTTTCGTGGCCCCATAGGGAGATCGGCCGAAGGCCTCCTCCCTCCTCCCTCCTCCTCTACTTTTCGGCGCGATCCTCCTCTCCTCCTCCTCTCCTCCTCTCCTCCTCCTCCTCCTCCTCCTCCCTCCCTCCCTCCCGTCCCTCCCCTCCCTCCCTCCCTCCCTCCCGTCCCTTCCCTCCCTCCCTCCCCTCCTCCCGCTCGTGTCGGAGGACATGCCCGACCTAAGCTTAAGTCGGGCCTGTCCCTCTACAGGAGAAATATTCAAAAACAATACGGGGACGATTATTTGAGCATTTGTGGGTATTTCTAAGTTTGTTCCGGGGGCATGCTTTATTTTT